GACTCGTCAAACGTGACGTCCTGAGAGGACAGAACACGACGCGAGGTGGGGTGGTAGAACTGCCACCCGGGTGCGTCAGGAGGGAAGCCAAGGAAGACACAGGGAACGGCACGGGAGGACAGCTTGTCCGCTGAAGTATCGCGGACAAAAGCTCGAGATCCCGAGACACGGAACGCGGACGCATCGCCAACCTTCCCCGTCCACCGCAGAGTAGGTGTGGTCTCCGGCAAGGAGACACGAGGCTGAAGGTTGATCTGATGCGCAGCGTACTGAACCGCGAACGGCCACAGAAAATGGGGAGCAGCCGCATGGATCATGGACGTACGAGCGACGTCCATGACCATGCCAATGCGGCGCTCAGCAATCCCATTTTGTTGCGGGGAGGCCGGAAGCGTGAACGTCTGGCGGATGCCCTCCGAACGACAGAAGGCCCTCAGGAGGTCGGAGGAAAACTCCCCACCTCTGTCTGAGTGCAGACGCAGAACAGGAAGGTCTGAACCGAAACTCTCACTGAGCTGGCGACGAGCACCGCGGATCCAGTCGATCAACACCTCAGGGACCTCACCCTTGCTGCGCAAGGGGAAGACTGTGGTGTAACGCGAGTAGTCGTCAACGACCAGCGGGAAGTAACGCTCGTGACCCTGTCCACGGACGCGGGCTGGGCCCCACACGTCCATGTGAAGAGCGTGCAGAGGAGCCTCAGTCGGAGGGAACGAGAAGGAGTGAGGAGCGGCGCGCTCCCTGCCCTTGACACAAGGAACACGGGTGGGGGCAGGCCCCGGAGGAAGGGGAGGGAGGGACCGGGGTAGACCCGAGACAAGGGCACGAGAGGCCATACCTCGAAGACGAGGCAGGGAGGGGTGACCAAGGCGGTGGTGCCAAAGGAGAGTCTCGTGCGAAAAGAGGACGACACGAGCAGGGGGCAGACGCAGGACTAGACCTGGACGCGGCAGCAAACACCTGACTAGACGCAGCCACCTGACCAGACGCAGAGACCAGAGGAGGCGCACTAGTCAGTGTGTACAGACTCGACCCTGGCCGACGGGTGAACGTGGCCAGGTGGCGGCCCGTCCGAGAGCAAGTGCAGTGGGTCACACGCTGACCTCCAGGGGTGAACTGGTCAACCCACGTGTCCTGGAGGTCAGCTCCACTCACCAAGTTCGTAGAGAACGAGGGGAGGTGGAGTCCCGACAGCAAGCCCGACAGGGCCGCAGGACACGGTAGAACCGTGGAAGAGTGCGCAAGGACTGGGCCCCCAGAGGGGTCAGCAAGGGAGACTGCAACAGGCCGACTGAGCGGCGTGAGTGTGGTGCTGTCTCTAAAGAAAGAGCGCGAAGCACTAGAGTCAAGTGTGAAAGTGTGCAAGGTCTCAGTAGGTGCAGTACCAGAGAGAGCAGACGCATCAGCACCTGGAGCAGCAGACGCACCAGTACCTGGGGCAGCAGACGCACTAGCACCTAGAGCAGCAGCCGCAATGCCCGGGTCGGGCGGGACACTCAGGTAACAATCACCCTCAGCACTATCAGCAAAAGCATATATGGCAGCAAGGATAGCATCGAAATCAAGATCAAAGATAGGCACATTCTGCAGAAGCAGATCATGCCAGCGAGGGAGCTCAACAGCGTCAGGAAACTGGGCACGCCAGGCGTCAGTCAAGCGACCAAAGCAGCGCTGCGTAGTGTATGGCAGCCCACACGCCTCCCCACGACGACTGCCGATGCGAAAAACGTAAGTGCAGGGACCTGCACCCCCAGACCTCCCACGCCCAGCGTACCACTCACGAAGCTGCTGGACCGACGGGGTCTCACGGGAGCGCAGCTGCTGCTGGCGTTGGCTGCCACCAAAGCCTCCACGCTGCGCGGCTGCACCTCGACCAGCACCACCGCCGCCGCCACCTCCACCACCGCTGCCGCTACCTCCACCACCTCCGCCACTGCCGCCACCACCTCCACCGCCGCCACTGACGCCCCCACTGCCGGTACCACCGCCACCTCCTCCGCCTCCTCCACCTCCTCCACTGCTTCCCCCGCCGCCCCCTCCACCACCCTTGCTCCCCTTGCCCTTGCTGTTGCGGCGTCTCACACTAGGGGCAGACGCAGCTCCGACCTCCTCAGTGCCAACGAGGTCGACAGCAGCAGCAGAAGCAACAGAGGGGAGAAGGGGGACAGGGGAACACCCCTCAAAGAAGGGGGTGCGACAGTCGCCACGAGAAGCACCTACAGCTAAGATACTCTTCTCAGCTGCAGCAAGGCGCTCCTCTAGCAGGTCGACAGTTAGCTCGGTGGGGCAAAGGGAGAGAAAGTGGTCCCTGACTGAAGAAAGGGAGTTAGGGAGGCGGGTGACTAGGTAGTAAAGGGTGATGTACATGGGGGGGGGGGGTTCTTGGCACAGAACTCAGTGGTGGGCCCTTAAAAAAATTAGTGGTGGGCCCTTAAAAAAAACGTTCCCACTAGGGAACCTGCTCTGATACCATGTTAGAATATGAGCGAATGAATGACTGAACTAGAAGGCAGATGGGTACAAGTAGGAAACCTAAAAGTGTTGTACCCTATAAGAACTACCCCACTACAGCCTAAACGGACTATAGCGTATAAGTTTGACAGCTTACATTATGTAGGCTGTAGTGGGGTAGCCCATAAGGGGTACAACCTAATTAGGGTTAGTACTTGTACCCAACTCTTTACTAGTTCATTCATTCTCGTTCGTTCTTTCTGACACAACCCCCAATTATCGACTCCGATTTGTTCTCGTTTTTTATTCATATTTTCCACGCTAATCATACGTTCGAGATGGGACAGAAACAAAACGCGAATCCCGAACGGAAATACAAACGATTGTGCCGAGGTGTCGATGTGAATGCGTAAAACTTTACACGTGGAAGCACCCGGACATGTGTTACCCTAAATTTTTATTTACACGCCCTTGCGCCGGAACGAGACTTCTGTAAAGAACCACAAGTAAAATAATACCCATTGGCAAGAGGGGAAGGCATCAACCCTAAATACTGGATGGCTTCCCGTGTTTAGGGTTGGATTTCCTAATGTGTGCCCAGGTTATCTAAGGGTTTTATTTCATATTTTACTTCATAAGCGGGTGGGGTGTTAGAGGCGGTTTTTTTCACAATTGTGCTTATAATCAAAAGAAAAATTAACGGTCGTATTATATCGAAACATTGTGGGTTGATTACGGATGCAAAACGCTTCGGGCATAATTTGAGGATGTATGATATTGGCCGCAAGAAGTTTTGCTGAGAGAATTGCTCCAGTGCCTTGTTTGGTGATTCGCTCTTGCCCACGTGTCCCCGAATTGCTCGAGTGGCCATCCAATTCCGTGATAATTGCTCGAGTGGCCATGCCAGGGCATTTTCGAGGTGTTTTTTTCCCTGGCACATAACCCTACAAGGGTTCATACCCCCGAAATTCCTCGTTCGCACAACAGTAGATGCGCGGTCATTTTCGGCCCAATGCGCGACCAATGAGCGCGCGGGCAATTACATCAGCGATCATAAACTGCAACGCCAGAGCATAAATGCACGAACATATTATTGACCGCGCACGATTGGTCGATAATATGCTTCTTGCCCTTTTTGGCAATGCGCGTCCAATCACGCACGGTCATATAATTCACGACCATATATTTAGGCGATAAAGGGTCGCCCAACAACCAATATGAGCGCGCATATACTACCATTAGTTCTATTATATTTTCGGTCCATATAAAACCATGTATATCAAATGCCATAAATATATTCTCTGCTATTAATTTAAGCCCATCATAACCGTGGTGGCAGCATATTATGCTGGGCTTAAATTAATATTATGCTGCCGAACATATTATTTCTGCAACCATATTACCGGCAATACAATATTATGGACCACGGTATGATGGGCTTAATATTATGATAGGCCACGATACAATATTATTTCTAGTACGACGGGCTTAAATTAATAGCAAAGAATATATGTATGGCATTTGATATGCATGGTTTTATATGGACCGGACATATGATAGAACTAATGGTAGTATATGCGCGCTCATATTGGTTGTTGGGCGAAACTTTATCGCCTAAATATATGGTCGTGAATTATATGACCGTGCGTGATTGGACGCGCATTGCCAAAAAGGGCAAGAAACATATTATCGACCAATCGTGCGCGGTCAATAATATGTTCGTGCATTTATGCTCTGGCGTTGTAGTTTATGATCGCTGATGTAATTGCCCGCGCGCTCATTGGTCGCGCATTGGGCCGAAAATGACCGCGCATCTACTGTTGTGCGAACGAGGAATTTCGTGGGTACGAACCCTTGTAGGGTTATGTGCCAGGGAAAAAAAACACATCGAAAATGCCCTGGCATGGCCACTCGAGCAATTATCTCTGAATTGGATGGCCACTCGAGCAATTCGGGGACACGCGGGCAAGAGCGAATCACCAAACAAGGCACTGGAGCAATTCTCTCAGTTTTGCTTGACCAAGATGAAGCATTTCCCGCCGCCACGATGATTCGTCGAAGGATCAGTTCCAAACTGCCCCACGAATTGCAGCAAAGCCTTTGCCTGACAGCACACAATATTCTTCAATGATCGAGGCCGTCCGTTGAATCCCAAGTTCCCACCGGAGTCTGGCCTTGTCAGAGATTACTTCCCGCGACGCGGGAAGTGCAAAGCAGAGAGGAGCTGGGGGATGAAACCTGGCTGGATTTGTGGAAGAATTCGAGGGAGTCCGTTGAGATTCACGTGCTTTGTGCCTCGGGAGTCGGGAGTCGGGACGGGACAGATCGAGGGAACACCTTGAGAATACCGAACCCAACAAATCTCGTTTCTCTCAGGGTGCTGTTTGCGGAGGGTTTGTTGTGGCTGCCGGCTCGCAAAAAAAACCTTCTGGAGTGCGCCCAGATCCTTTTAGCAATCACGTTCCTCTTTTACTTCACAAAACAACCCAACTAGCGAGCAGAGCTAGGGAACGCTTTAGGGATTTAGAGCTGCTTAGACTCCCGGTATCATGGCGCAGCCTGGAAATCGCAAGGGAGGTAGGCGTCGCTCGAGCGGGGAGCAGGCGGTTATTGTCGGAGTGCTGCTAACGCTGATCTTTCTCGTTTACAACGGACGATTTCCGTCTATTTTTCCGTCTCGTACGAGCACCCCGTACGAAAACCTCAGCGCCACGGCGTTGCGCAAACTCCAGGCGGAGGATGCGGCGCTCATCGCGCCGGAAGGACCGGAGAGCGACGGAGGGAGCGAGATAGCATCTGACGCAGAGGAGGGGCCGTACTACATGGAGCCGCGAGTCAAGGGTATGTCACCTGTGGGTCAAGGTTACGTCACCTGTGGGTCAAGCGTATGCCATTCGCGGTTCAAGGGCAAAAAATGTTCGAGAGACAGGCAACAATTTACGCCGAGGAGGAGCCATACTACATGGAGCCGCGAGTCAAGGGTAGGTCAACTCTGGGTCAAGGTTACGTCACCGCGGGTCAAGTGTAGATCAAGTAGGTCAACCGCTGAGCCGCTGGTTAAAGGTTGCGTCACCTGTGGGTTAGGTTACGTCACCCGCGGTGCCGCGGATCAAGCGTATGTCATCTGCGGTTCAAGGGCATAAAATGTTCCGAAATGTTAAGTGGGCAGTCGTTCGACGGCGTCTCACAGGTACTCTGGATGCGCCGCGCGTATGATGTGTGCTTGCCGGCGAGGATAGGCAGTGCGGCGTTCGGAAAGATCATGCGACGCTTCTAATGAGTCACCATTGGTGGATCCGTTAACCGTCAATCAAGCGTATGTCAGTAGCGAGTACGGGCTGTGAGAGCGTGCGGTTGATTGATCGTCGCTGTGAAGGAAACGCACTTGATGGGAAGACAACGGTATGCTCTGTTCAGCCCAATGGTGTGTTTTGGTTAAGACAAGGGATGACTTTTGAGTCGACTCAAAAGTCATCTCGATCGCTCGTCGGTGTGAAGGAAACGCAGTTGATGGGGAAGGAAACGGTAAGCTCTGCTCAACCCAATGGTGTGCTCTGGTTAAGACAAGGGGTGCTCGTCGCGAGACAAAGGCTTTCTCGGGGCGTAGTCAGGGAATCCTTGTCTCGTGTCGGGGTTATATTCAAGACGCTCGAATGGGATTTCGACGTTTCTAAGGCGTCTGACAACTCGAGACGCTGGAAGAACGTTGCGCGATTAGGGTGAGCTCCCCCCTTCCCCTCCCCTCCCCTTCTTTCGCAGTTAGGGTGCACTCTCAGGACTCGCTGTTCATAAGCACACCGGACGTTGGGACGAGTGGCGAAGCTGCTTATATCGCAACGAGTCGAAGGAACCCTGATTGCAGTGCACGCGCAAGACTCGCTCACCGCCCCCCACCCCTCCGTCCTTTCCCCCCTTCTCCCCTCCCTCTTCCACCCTCCCCCACTTCTCGACCACTCGCTACAATCGCTCCGCAGACTGGGACGAGCAGCGGCGCGCGTACATCGCGGCGCGCCCGGGGAGCAACGCGACGCGCGACGGCAAGCCCAAGGTGATGCTGGTCTCGGGCTCCAACAGCAAGCGGTGCGGCGAGGGACCCAACAGCGGCGACTTTTTGCTCCTCAAGTTCCTGAAGAACAAGCAGGACTACGCGCGCGTGAACGACATGCCGTTTTATTACGGCATGGGCGCCATTGACCCAAGGCTCAAGACGTTCTGGGTGAAGCTGCCCATGCTGCGCATGCTCATGCTGCAGCACCCCGACGTGGAGTGGTTCTTCTGGGTTGACTCCGATGCCATGATCACCGGTGAGTGGGGCGTGGGAGATAGGCTGGTAGGTTGAGATTGGGGTTGAGTACCGGAGGGTTGGGGGCTAGCCGAGGAATGGATCTGGATTAACAACAGTCGGCTCCTAAGACAGAGCGTTCACCTCATGCTGCAGCACCCCGACGTGGAGTGGTTCTTCTGGGTTGACTCCGATGCCATGATCATTGGTGAGCAGGCGGGGAGGTAGCCGGGGGCTGGGAAGTAGCCGAGGAATTTGGGTGGTAGGTTTGGATGGGGTGGTAGGTTTGGATGGGGTGGTAGGTTTGGATGGGGTGGTAGGTTTGGTTGGGGTGGTAGGTTTGGATGGGGTGGTAGGTTTGGATGGGGTGGTAGGTTTGGATGGGTTGGTGGGTTTGGTTGGGGTGGTAGGTTTGGATGGGTTGGTGGGTTTGGATGGGTTGGTAGGTTTGGATGGGGTGGTACGTTTGGTTGGGGTGGTACGTTTGGATGGGGTGGTAGGTATGGGTTGGACGTGAGTGGTTTCAGTGGCAACGGTCAACTCATGCTGCAGCACCCGGGAGTGGTGTGGAGTGGTTCCTCTGGGTCGACTCGGATCGGATGCTATGATCACCAGTGGGGCGCATGGGGTTTGGCGGAGGTTTGGAAGATCGAACCGCTAGGTTCGAGCGTAGGTTTGAGTTGGGGGTAGGCTTAGTTTGGAAGGTTGGCTTGGACTGGGAGGCAGCAGAGGTTTAGATTGAAGATCCTAGTGATTTCTTGACAAGGTACTTGTAGAGAGGGTATTTTTGAGACGTCTCAAAAATATCCTCTCTACACGTGATTTCTTGACAAGGTAGTCGCAATGTTGGGGTTGGACCCAGGCGAATAAGTCATATTCCTCCCTTCCCCTCTTCTTCCCTCGCTGCCCCATCTACCCCTCCCCTTCTCCGCGCAGACATTGCGTTCCGGTACCCCATTGAGAAGCAGGCGAACAAGACACAGATCCCCACTCCCGCTCCCCATTCTCCCCCTCCTACCCCCACTCCGCTCCTGCCCCCACGTGCAGACATGGCATCCAGGCACCTCGTTGAGAAGCAGGCGGCTTAGACATGATCCCCCCCCGTCGCTCCCCGTTTTCCCCCTTATGCCCCCAATCTGGCCCCGCTTGCAGACATGGCGTTCCGGTACCCCATCGAGACGAAGGAAGGCAAGGTGCTGGTCATGTCGGGGCTGGACGCTGACGTGTACGGCAAGAAGGACTGGTGAGTCATTGCTGATGTGGCATGGAGGGGGAGGTACGGAGGAGAGGGAAGAAGGGGGAAGGAGGGTGGGAAGGAAGGAGAGAGAAGTAGGGGGAGGGAGGGATGGAGGGAGGGATGGAGGGATGGAGGGATGGAGGGAGGGAAGGAGGGAGGGAGGGAGGGAGGGAGGGAGGGAGGGAGGGAGGGAGGGAGGGAGGGAGAGAAGGAGAGGTTGTAACCAGCGACACTCGCCTCACACAGCCCTTTTGAGCCAACTCAAAAGTCAGCTTACGACACTCGCCTCACACGCCCCTAATCCCCCTCGCCTCGCCCACCCTCATGCCATTTGCCACATCCTCCCTCCGCCGTCGCTCATCCCCTTCTTCTCCCCCTCAGCCAGCATCGATCGCGCTTCTCAGCCTTCTTTGATACATTCTGCCCGCTTTCTCTCTCCCCTTGCCTCCAGCCTCTTTCCCTTCCCTTCCCTTTCTTTCCCTCCCCTCCCCTTCAACTTCCTCCCTATTCCTCCCCTCCCCTCCCCCCTCCCCTCCCTTCCCTGCCCCCCTTTCCCCCCCTCTCCCCCCCTCTCTCCCTTCTCCCCTCCTCTGCCCTCCCAACTCCTCCCCTTCTTCCCGTCTCTGCACCTTGCTCCTTCCTCACGTTGTCTCCCCCCACTGCTGTCCTCCCCCTCCCCCCTTCCTCAACCGCACTCCTAGGGTGGCCCTCAACACAGGAAGCCATTTTTTTAGTTGACTCACAAACCTTCCCCTTCCCTCACCCCCTCTCCTCGCCCTTACTCCCAGGGTGGCCCTCAACACAGGAAGCTTCCTCATCCGCAACTCACAGGTAAGCACTCCCGTTGCTCTCACTGCCAGTCTGCCGCACCATCGTCCTGTCACTCCCACTGCGCCATGTCATCGTCCCTGCGCCAATCATGCAGTGCGGGCTCTGGCAGAAAGTCACAGTCACACGCACCTGCATGCTCGCTGCTGCCACTCTGCTGCACAGCTCTCGCTCCCTTGTGCCCCTCTGCCCTTCTGCCCTGTGCTTCGCCCCCTTGTGTCGCCTTTTCACCTACCCTCCGTGTATATTTATTGTGTATCCCACGTGTGCATCCCACGTGTGCATCCCATGTGTGCATCCCACGTGTGCCTCCCACGTGTGCATCCCACGTGTGCATCCCACGTGTGCATCCCATGTGTGCATCCCACGTGTGCATCCCACGTGTGCATCCCACGTGTGCATCCCACGTGTGCATCCCATGTGTGCATCCCACGTGTGCATCCCACGTGTGCATCCCACGTGTGCATCCCACGTGTGCATCCCACGTGTGCATCCCACGTGTGCATTCCACGTGTGCATCCCACGTGTGCATCCCTCGTGTGCATCCCATGTGTGCATCCCACGTGTGCATCCCACCCCACGTGTGCATTCCACGTGTGCATCCCACGTGTGCATCCCACGTGTGCATCCCACGTGTGCATCCCAACCCACGTGTGCATTCCACGTGTGCATCCCACGAGTGCATCCCACGTGTGCATCCCACGTGTGCATCCCACGTGTGCACCCCACCCATGCACCTGACATCCCACCCGTTCATGTGCGCCCGCACAACAGGAAGGGTTAGATCTGCTGGACTATTGGGGGCAGTACGGGCGGTCGGAGAAGGTCACTGTCAAGTGGGGCCACCTGCTTACTCCCTGCCGCGCCTCTGCTGCACCCTTCACGTCCTTGTGTCTCACATCCCTCCCGTGTGATCATCAGGAAGGGTTAGATCTGCTGGACGACTGGGGGCAGTACGGGCGGTCGGAGAAGGTCACTGTCAAGTGGGGCGAGATCGCCAGCAGGGTGCTCCAGGTGCGTGCGTGCTGCTCAGGTGATCACAGCAGAGTGGTTCAGGTGCTACAAACAGAATGGATCAGGTGATAACAGCAGCTAGATCAGGTGATAACAGCAGCTGGATCAGGTGATAACAGCAGGATGGAGGTTGCGATTATTTTCCAACGAGAAGGATTGAACAGCAGGAAACTGTGTCAGGTGATCAATTACGGTCGAGCTTTACGAGCTGAGTTCTCACAACAACCCACATTTGAGAATTCCAGATCACCCCACTTTTTGGGCACTGGTCTGTTCCAACCTCTTTCCCCCATCACCTCATTGCCTTCCTAATGCCTTCCCTCTTCCCCACACCTCCTTCCGCCCCTCCCTCCTGCATCGCCCCACCCACGTCCTCCCCCTCTCACGCCCTTCTCTGCTGCACTCCTCCCCCTCGCCCCCCGCCCCTTGGCCCTACCCACACAGAAACGCAAGAACTGGCCAGCAGACGACCAGACGGCGCTGGTGCTGATGCTGACGGGCGAGGGCGAGAAGGAGGAGGACAGGGCCAAGGGACTCAAGCCGCTGGCAGACCGCTGGGCTCCGCGCACTTTCCTGGACCCCACTAATACTCTGCACGGCTTCTGGGTACTCTTCGTTGACAAGTGAGTGGGGGTAGGGAGATCTAGCATGGCATGGCGTAGCATGGCATGGCGCTTAGGCATCGGCCATTTGGCGTTCAGCATGGCATGGCGTAGCATCGTAGCATGGCATGGCGTAGCATGGCATGGCGTAGCATGGCATGGCGTAGCATGCATGGCGTACATGGCATGGCGTAGCATGGAATGGCGTAGCATGGCATGGCGTAGCATGGCATGGCGTAGCATGGCATGGCGTAGCATGGCATGGCGTAGCATGGCATGGCGGAGCAGGGCATGGCGTAGCATGGCATGGCGTAGCATGGCATGGCGTAGCATGGCATGGCGTAGCATGGCATGGCGTAGCTGGCATGGCGTAGCATGGCATGGCGTAGCATGCATGGCGTAGCATGGCATGGCGTAGCAATGGCCAATGGCGCTAGCATGGCATGGCGTAGCATGGCATGGCGTAGCATGGCATGGCGTAGCATGGCATGGCGTAGCATGGCATGGCGTAGCAGGGCATGGCGTAGCATGGAGCGTAGATGCGTAGCATGGCATGGCGTAGCATGGCATGGCGTAGCATGGCATGGCGTAGCATGGCATGGCGTAGCATGGCATGGCGTAGCATGGCATGGCGTAGCATGGCATGGCGTAGCATGGCATGGCGTAGCATGGCATGGCGTAGCATGGCATGGCGTAGCATGGCATGGCGTAGCATGGCATGGCGTAGCATGCATGGCGTAGCATGGCATGGCGTAGCATGGCATGGCGTAGCATGGCATGGCGTAGCATGGCATGGCGTAGCATGGCATGGCGTAGCATGGCATGGCGTAGCATGGCATGGCGTAGCATGGCATGGCGTAGCATGGCATGGCCGTAGCATGGCATGGCGTAGCATGGCATGGCGTAGCATGGCATGGCGTAGCATGGCATGGCGTAGCATGGCATGGCGTAGCATGGCATGGCGTAGCATGGCATGGCGTAGCATGGCCATGGCCGTAGCATGGCATGGCCGTAGCATGGCATGGCGTAGCATGGCATGGCGTAGCATGGCATGGCGTAGCATGGCATGGCGTAGCATGGCATGGCGTAGCATGGCATGGCGTAGCATGGCATGGCGTAGCATGGCATGGCGTAGCATGGCATGGCGTAGCATGGCATGGCGTAGCATGGCATGGCGTAGCATGGCATGGCGTAGCATGGCATGGCGTAGCATGGCATGGCGTAGCATGGCATGGCGTAGCATGGCATGGCGTAGCATGGCATGGCGTAGCATGGCATGGCGTAGCATGGCATGGCGTAGCATGGCATGGCGTAGCATGGCATGGCGTAGCATGGCATGGCCGTAGCATGGCATGGCGTAGCATGGCATGGCGTAGCATGGCATGGCGTAGCATGGCATGGCGTAGCATGGCATGGCGTAGCATGGCATGGCGTAGCATGGCATGGCGTAGCATGGCATGGCGTAGCATGGCATGGCGTAGCATGGCATGGCGTAGGCATGGCATGGCGTAGCATGGCATGGCGTAGCATGGCATGGCGTAGCATGGCATGGCGTAGCATGGCATGGCGTAGCATGGCATGCGTAGCATGGCATGGCGTAGCATGGCATGGCGTAGCATGGCATGGCGTAGCATGGCATGGCGTAGGGCATGGCGTAGCATGGCATGGCGTAGCATGGCATGGCGTAGCATGGCATGGCGTAGCATGGCATGGCGTAGCATGGCATGGCGTAGCATGGCATGGCGTAGCATGGCATGGCGTAGCATGGCATGGCGTAGCATGGCATGGCGTAGCATGGCATGGCGTAGCATGGCATGGCGTAGCATGGCATGGCGTAGCATGGCATGGCGTAGCATGGCATGGCGTAGCATGGCATGGCGTAGCATGGCATGGCGTAGCATGGCATGGCGTAGCATGGCATGGCGTAGCATGGCATGGCGTAGCATGGCATGGCGTAGCATGGCATGGCGTAGCATGGCATGGCGTAGCATGGCATGGCGTAGCATGGCATGGCGTAGCATGGCATGGCGTAGCATGGCATGGCGTAGCATGGCATGGCGTAGCATGGCATGGCGTAGCATGGCATGGCGTAGCATGGCATGGCGTAGCATGGCATGGCGTAGCATGGCATGGCGTAGCATGGCATGGCGTAGCATGGCATGGCGTAGCATGGCATGGCGTAGCATGGCATGGCGTAGCATGGCATGGCGTAGCATGGCATGGCGTAGCATGGCATGGCGTAGCATGGCATGGCGTAGCATGGCATGGCGTAGCATGGCATGGCGTAGCATGGCATGGCGTAGCATGGCATGGCGTAGCATGGCATGGCGTAGCATGGCATGGCGTAGCATGGCATGGCGTAGCATGGCATGGCGTAGCATGGCATGGCGTAGCATGGCATGGCGTAGCATGGCATGGCGTAGCATGGCATGGCGTAGCATGGCATGGCGTAGCATGGCATGGCGTAGCATGGCATGGCGTAGCATGGCATGGCGTAGCATGGCATGGCGTAGCATGGCATGGCGTAGCATGGCATGGCGTAGCATGGCATGGCGTAGCATGGCATGGCGTAGCATGGCATGGCGTAGCATGGCATGGCGTAGCATGGCATGGCGTAGCATGGCATGGCGTAGCATGGCATGGCGTAGCATGGCATGGCGTAGCATGGCATGGCGTAGCATGGCATGGCGTAGCATGGCATGGCGTAGCATGGCATGGCGTAGCATGGCATGGCGTAGCATGGCATGGCGTAGCATGGCATGGCGTAGCATGGCATGGCGTAGCATGGCATGGCGTAGCATGGCATGGCGTAGCATGGCATGGCGTAGCATGGCATGGCGTAGCATGGCATGGCGTAGCATGGCATGGCGTAGCATGGCATGGCGTAGCATGGCATGGCGTAGCATGGCATGGCGTAGCATGGCATGGCGTAGCATGGCATGGCGTAGCATGGCATGGCGTAGCATGGCATGGCGTAGCATGGCATGGCGTAGCATGGCATGGCGTAGCATGGCATGGCGTAGCATGGCATGGCGTAGCATGGCATGGCGTAGCATGGCATGGCGTAGCATGGCATGGCGTAGCATGGCATGGCGTAGCATGGCATGGCGTAGCATGGCATGGCGTAGCATGGCATGGCGTAGCATGGCATGGCGTAGCATGGCATGGCGTAGCATGGCATGGCGTAGCATGGCATGGCGTAGCATGGCATGGCGTAGCATGGCATGGCGTAGCATGGCATGGCGTAGCATGGCATGGCGTAGCATGGCATGGCGTAGCATGGCATGGCGTAGCATGGCATGGCGTAGCATGGCATGGCGTAGCATGGCATGGCGTAGCATGGCATGGCGTAGCATGGCATGGCGTAGCATGGCATGGCGTAGCATGGCATGGCGTAGCATGGCATGGCGTAGCATGGCATGGCGTAGCATGGCATGGCGTAGCATGGCATGGCGTAGCATGGCATGGCGTAGCATGGCATGGCGTAGCATGGCATGGCGTAGCATGGCATGGCGTAGCATGGCATGGCGTAGCATGGCATGGCGTAGCATGGCATGGCGTAGCATGGCATGGCGTAGCATGGCATGGCGTAGCATGGCATGGCGTAGCATGGCATGGCGTAGCATGGCATGGCGTAGCATGGCATGGCGTAGCATGGCATGGCGTAGCATGGCATGGCGTAGCATGGCATGGCGTAGCATGGCATGGCGTAGCATGGCATGGCGTAGCATGGCATGGCGTAGCATGGCATGGCGTAGCATGGCATGGCGTAGCATGGCATGGCGTAGCATGGCATGGCGTAGCATGGCATGGCGTAGCATGGCATGGCGTAGCATGGCATGGCGTAGCATGGCATGGCGTAGCATGGCATGGCGTAGCATGGCATGGCGTAGCATGGCATGGCGTAGCATGGCATGGCGTAGCATGGCATGGCATGGCATGGCATGGCATGGCGTTGCATGGCATGGCGTAGCATGGCATGGCATGGCATGGCATGGCATGGCGTTGCATGGCATGGCGTAGCATGGCATGGCATGGCATGGCATGGCGTTGCATGGCATGGCGTAGCATGGCATGGCATGGCATGGCATGGCATGGCGTTGCATGGCATGGCGTAGCATGGCATGGCATGGCATGGCATGGCGTTGCATGGCATGGCGTAGCATGGCATGGCATGGCATGGCATGGCATGGCGTTGCATGGCATGGCGTAGCATGGCATGGCGTTGCATGGCATGGCATGGCATGGCATGAGTGGAGCACGTGTCGATGCAGTGATGCAGCTGCCTTGCACACGATCCGCACTGCCCTACACACAAAACACACACTGCACGCCTGTGCAGCCACCTATCCAGCCGTCTAAAAGGCTACCAAGGGGTGCAAAAGCGTGCATTGCTCCCTTCATCCTCACTTCCTCCCCTCCCATCCTCACTTCCTCCCCTCCCATCCTCACTTCCTCCCCTCCCATCCTCCCTTCCTCCCCTCCCATCCTCACTTCCTCCCCTCCCATCCTCCCTTCCTCCCTTCCCATCCTCACTTCCTCCCCTCCCATCCTCCCTTCCTCCCCTCCCATCCTCCCTTCCTCCCCTCCCATCCTCACTTCCTCCCCTCCCATCCTCCCTTCCTCCCCTCCCATCCTCACTTCCTCCCCTCCCATCCTCCCTTCCTCCCCTCCCATCCTCCCTTCCTCCCCTCCCATCCTCCCTTCCTCCCCTCCCATCCTCCCTTCCTCCCCTCCCATCCTCCCTTCCTCCCCTCCCATCCTCACTTCCTCTCCCCTCATCCTCAACAGGGTGGGCGACTGGGAGTGGCCCTTCGCGGTTCACTTCACGCCTTTGCCCCTTGATCCCCCCTATCCTCGCCCCCTCCCTTCCCTCGCCCCCCTTGCTCCCTGCCCACCAGGCTGGAGGCGATAGCAGCCAAGTACCACAACGGGATGGGCAACTGGGAGTGGCCCTTCACGGTGCACGTCACACCTCCTCAACCCTAATCCTTGTACCCAAAACCCTCCGTCCCTTTCCCCCACACACCAGGCTGGAGGCGATAGCAGCCAAGTACCACAACGGGGTGGGCGACTGGGAGTGGCCCTTCACGGTGCACTTCACGGGGTGCAAGCTGTGCGACCGCAAGTTCTCTGACTATGACCCCGACACGTGTGACCTCGGCATCCACCGGTATGAGCAGTGCTCACCAGCATCAACACCGGTATGAGCAGTGTTCACCAGCATCAACACCGGTATGAGCAGTGCTCACCAGCATCAACACCGGTATGAGCAGTGCTCACCGGCATCAACACCGGTATGAGCAGTGTTCACCAGCATCAACACCGGTATGAGCAGTGCTCACCAGCATCAACACCGGTATGAGCAGTGCTCACCAGCATCAACACCGGTATGAGCAGTGTTCACTAGCATCAACACCGGTATGAGCAGTGCTCACCAGCATCAACACCGGTATGAGCAGTGCTCACCAGCATCAACACCGGTATGAGCAGTGTTCACCAGCATCAACACCGGTATGAGCAGTGCTCACTAGCATCAACACCGGTATGAGCAGTGTTCACCAGCATCAACACCGGTATGAGCAGTGCTCACCAGCATCAACACCGGTATGAGCAGTGTTCACCAGCATCAACACCGGTATGAGCAGTGTTCACCAGCATCAACACTGGTATGAGCAGTGCTCACCAGCATCAACACCGGTATGAGCAGTGCTCACCAGCATCAACACCGGTATGAGCAGTGTTCACCAGCATCAACACCGGTATGAGCAGTGCTCACCAGCATCAACACTGGTATGAGCAGTGCTCACCAGCATCAACACCGGTATGAGCAGTGCTCACCAGCATCAACACCGGTATGAGCAGTGTTCACCAGCATCAACACCGGTATGAGCAGTGTTCACCAGCATCAACACTGGTATGAGCAGTGCTCACCAGCATCAACACCGGTATGAGCAGTGTTCACCAGCATCAACACTGGTATGAGCAGTGCTCACCAGCATCAACACCGGTATGAGCAGTGCTCACCAGCATCAACACCGGTATGAGCAGTGCTCACCAGCATCAACACCGGTATGAGCAGTGCTCACCAGCATCAACACCGGTATGAGCAGTGTTCACCAGCATCAACACTCACAGCATTCACCAACAACTAGCATTCATGAGCAGCATTCACCAGCATTCTCCGACTATGACCCCGATACGAGTGACCGCGGCATCCACCGGTAAAGGGCAATAACTGGCACGAGCATTCAGGCATCCAGGAGCCAAGGACTTCACCTAGAAACTGCACTCACAGCTCTAGCTCACCAGTACACAGTACTGAGAGCACTCACCAAGCCCTTTTGAGGCGCCTCAAAAATCACAGCTCTAGCTCACCAGTACACAGTACTGAGAGCACTCACCAAGCCCTTTTGAGGCGCCTCAAAAATCACAGCTCTAGCTCACCAGTACACAGTACTCAGAGCACTCACCAAGCCCTTTTGAGGCGCCTCAAAAATCACAGCTCTAGCTCACCAGTACACAGTACTCAGAGCACTCACCAAGCCCTTCACAGTGCACTTCAAGAGGTACGGCCTGCAGCATGCAATGCAAGCCTTGTTCATTACCCCCTTCCCCTCCCCCCACTTCTTGTCCCCTTCGCCCATCTGCTCCCTCACAACCCCCTCAGGTCAGCTAATTTACCGGAAATTATTGCGGTAACTAAGGGAGCAAATAAGAGTTGCTCTAACTATGAGCATGCCTTTGCGGGCAACCAGGTGCTCGAGAGGATTGGCCTGCTGCTTTTGAGACGTCTCAAAAATGGCCTGCAGCAAGGTGGTTTCGTGTTTGCTGTGCGAGCCGTGCTCATCACTCCCCACTGCTCCTTATCCTCGTCGCCCCTCTGCTCCCTCACACAATCCCCTCAGGTCGTACGCCTTCGCAGACAACCAGGTGCTCAAGAGGAACGGCCTCCAGTATGCAATGCAAGCCTTGTTCATTACCCCCCTCCCTTTCCCCCCACTCTGTTTTCCCCTTCGCCCATCTGCTCCTCTCAACCCCCTCAGGTCGTACGCCTTCGCAGACAACCAGGTGCTCAAGAGGAACGGCGTGGAGCAAGGTGGTCTCGTGGATGCAATACGAGCCATGCTCATCACTCCCCACTGCTTCTTGTCCTCTTCGCCCCTCTGCTCCCTCACACACCCTCCCAGGTCATTCGCCTTTGCAGACAACCAGGTGCTCAAGAGGTACGGCCTCCAGCACGCCAATCTCAATGACTCTGCCATCACCAAAATCGGAGCCCAGGCTGCCTGATATCGCATTATTTAGTGTAGAAAGAGAACAGTGAACAGAGAACTGTAGGGAAAAAAAAGGGATTAGATTGTGTGTTGGTTCTTAAAGTGAATCTGTTTAGGGTCCTTCATAAGTGGTAGTTATAGAGTAAGGAATTTGTGTGATGGTCCCATTTGTAATTTTCATGTCTATCAATGGACCCAAGATGTGTGACAAAATAGGCATCAGTGTGGAGGCAGTAGACTGCCAAACTTGTCTAGCACTACTTTTCGCCTTATACCTTTGCATGTTCAGATATTACAAGCAGCGCTAACGGGGTAACGAATAGCGTGTTCGTACAAGTGAAATTCGGCAGAGGGAAGACCTAGTGACCAAGGTCACAAGGTTAGCAGCAGGCGCGGTGGACATACTAGATACGGAGTCGCGAACAATGCCTCATCAGCTACTATAAACTTAGCCTTATTAGGTCGTCAAGCCTGCTACAGAGCTCGTTCAGGGCTGGTCGAAGTTTCCGCCTTCTTTACAGACCCATTTCTCGTCGCCTCGCACTCCTTCCGTTGCGACCGTAGTTTCGGATCGTCGCGTGACGATGGCGGAAGGCGGTCGCGGGCGACACTATCGCCACCGTCGCCGAGGCGAAAGCGACAGCGGTAGCGACAATAGCGACAGCGATGATAGCGGGAGCAGGCGACGGGATTCGCCGGTTTCTGACGACGACCGGGACGACCGGCGGGGCGATCGTGGGCGACGCGTGCGACGAAGGTATTCGTCGGACGAGGAAGAGGAGGAGAGGAGAGAAGGAAGGGGGAAAGAGGAGAAGAGGAGGGAGAAGGCGAAGGGAGGAGAGTCGGACCGGCATGCTTCGAAACATGCGGATCGGCGTCGGAGCGAGAAGCGGCGATCTGCCAGCGACGACGACGAGGACGAAGAGGAGGAGAGGGGGAAGCGACGCGGCGGCGATCGCGATGGCGGGAAAAGCGGGAGAGGCGGGAGAGACAGTCGCAGCACAGGCGGGAGGCGGAGGAGGGGGAGCGAGTCCGCGAGTGAAAGCGATTCGGAATCGGAGGGGGAGAGGAAGAAGGGGCGGCGGAAAGGGGACGAGGAGGGGAGTGAGGGACGAGGCGCGAAGGGGGGCGGGCGGAGAGCGCGTGTACGGCGTAGCGGGAGTGACAGTAGCGATGATGAGGCGAAGGAGAGGAGACGGAACAGGCATCGTGACCAGGAGGAGGAGGAGGAGGATGAGCGAAGAGCTGGGAAAGCGGCGAGGGAGGAGAGAGCAAGAGGGATCGAGTCGAGGACCAAAGCGCGTGGCACAGCTGCTGCTACTTCTCCTGCTGCTGCCACCACGGGGGCTACTACCAAGCCAGTGCGCGCCAAGCCAGCCCCACCAGCCAAGCCAGCCCAACCAGCGCGCGCGCAGCCACCCCTGGATGCAGCAGCGCTGGCAGCAGAAGCTGCGCGCGCTGCTGCTGGTTTTGGCCCCTCCGCCCCCGCCTCTTCCGCCGCTCCCCCTCCCCTCCCGCACCCCCCAGCCCTCCCGCCGTCCTTCCCCCCTCCCCCGTCCGCCTCCGGGCCCCCCATCCTGCCCCCTCCCCCACCACCCGCGCACTACCCCTTCTCCGCGCCTCCCCCTCCCCCGCTTGGCGGGCCCCCTCTGCGCGCCACCCCCCATGCTGCCGGAAACGGGGCGGCGGCAGAGGGGAGGGTGGTTGCTGACGTGGACAGATCCGTGGCAGGGGGGAGAGTACTTGCTGACGTGGACCCTGAGACGCTTCAGGCCATGGAAGCAACGCAGAAGGCACTTGAGGCGAAGGAGGGGGAGAAGAAGAAGGTGAGGGGGGGAAGAATAAGGTGAGGGGGAGAAGGATAAGGTGAGGAGGGGAATGAAAGGGGGGGGGAGGAAAGCGGGGAGAGAAGGAGGGAGGGGGAGAAGAGGAAGGTGAGGGGGGAAGAAAAAGGGGGGAGAGGAAAAAGGGGGAGAGAAGGAGGGAGGGGGAGAAGAGTAAGACGAGGGGGAGAAGAGGAAGGTGGGGGGGGAGAAAAGAAAGGTGGGGGGGAGAAAAGAAAGGTGGGGGGGAGAAAAGAAAGGTGGGGGGGAGAAAAGAAAGGGTGGGAGAAAAAGAAGGTTTAGGGGGGGGGGTTGGGGGAAAAAGGTAAGGGGGAGAAGAAGGTGAGGGGGGAGGGAGGTGAGGGGGGAGGGAGGTGAGGGGGGGAAGAAGAAGTTGAGGGGGAGAAGGAGGTGAGGGTGGGGGAGAGGGAGGTGAGAGGGAAAGGGCGCCAAAGAGAGAAAGAGAGTTTAGGGGGAAGGGGGGAGCAGGAAGGAAGGAGGGGGTTGCATGGGGGACGAGAAAAGCGAAAGTAAGATATGGGGGGCGGTAGGGGGGCGGGGGAGGGAGGGAGAAGTTCTTTTTGTACCTGAAGAAAGTGGGAGGGAGGGTGGTAGGCGAGAAAGGGAATCAGAGGTCACTAGGGACTTGTTTTACTCTCTTTCTTCACTTGCTAAGCGTTTCACTAGTACTGCTGCCCTTCCACCATGAGTGACAACGACCCGGAGGGAGGGAGAAGTTCTTCTTGTACCTGAAGAAATATTGGTGCAACTTTTGAGAATTCTCAAAAGTCGGAGGGAGGGAGAAGTTCTTTTTGTACCTGAAGAAAGTGGGAGGGAGGGTGATAGGCGAGAAAGTGGGGGTATAGTCCGGACTGCGGAGTGATGATAGTGTACCCTGGGGCGCGTATAGTCAAGATGACCAAGGTGTGGGGCGAGGTGGTGAGAGAATGAGAGGGAGATGTGAGGGGGGCGGGTGTGGATGCAGGTTTAAAAGGGAGGGAGAAATTGGGGGTATAGTCCGGACTGCGGATTGATGATAAATTCCTTCGGGCGCGGATAGGCGAGATGACCAAGGTGTGGGGCGCGTGGGGGTGGGGAGAGGGGAGAGTATGCGAGGGGATAATGTGAGGGCGATGTGAGGTGAGAGAATGTGAGGGAGGTGTGAGGGGGCGGTGTGAGCCTCACATTCTCCCTCCCTCCAGGTCCTGCCTCCACACCCCCCCCCTCACACCTCCCTCACATTCTGTTTGAATGAAAAGGACCTCTGTCTCCCTCTCCCTCTCTCCCTCCCCTCCTCCACTCTTCCACTGCGTCCTCCCACCCACTCCCCCTCCTCCCCCTCGCTCCCCCTCCTCCCCCTCCTCCCCCTCGCTCCCCCTCCTCCCCCTCTTCCCTCCCATGGCAGGCAGTGCAGCCATCATTTGAGCTGTCGGGCAAACTGGCTGAAGAAACCAACCGCTTCCGAGGTGGGTGCTGTGCGGTGCTGGTGGGTGCTAATGGGAGCCTGGTGGGCGCTAATGGGTGCCTGGTGGGTGGCTGGCGGGTGTAGCTAATGGGGGCGGGGTGGAGGGGACGTGTGGCCGTGGGGAGAGAGTGAGGCCGAGGAGTGCACCCTCGGATTGCACCCTCAGATTGCACCCTCAGATTGCACCCTCAGATTGCACCCTCAGATTGCACCCTCAGATTGCACCCTCAGATTGCACCCTCAGATTGCACCCTCAGATTGCACCCTCAGATTGCAGTTGAGGTTGGTGAAGAGGGGTTACAGGTGCACAAGTGGGAAGAGATGGGATGGGAGGGAAAGGAAGGGACTTTTGTCCAGGGCAAAGAAGAGTGTTTAGGGTTCTGAAGGGAAAAAAACCTTTTCCATGTAGTTTCCTCAAGTCCAATCCAGCAATCTCCCTCCGTCCCTGCTCGCCTGTGATTTGCCTGCCCTTCTGTGCTGTCCAACCCCACCGACCAATCACACACTGCCAGGTGTCGCGCTCGTGTACAATGAGCCTCCTGAGGCGCGCAAGCCCTCCATTCGCTGGCGGCTCTACGTCTTTAAAGACGGGGAGCCTTTCAAAGGTGAGCCTTTTTATGGTGATTCTCAAAAGGTAAGGATTCAGTCAAAAGAGAATTTCGAGCATGAAGGTGCTTCGTTAAAATAAGCAAAAAAGAGAGGAGATGCTTTAAACTGGGTTGCTTGCGCGCAGTGGTAACTGTTTGAAAACAAGTGGTGTTTATGGTCGCATGCACTCTTGCTGCATTCGATGCGATCATCCACTCTGAGGCATGGTGTTGAGACATAGACATCTTACACTTCTCAAGACCCCCTGGTTTTTGAGAATTCTAAAAAACGTGATGCGACCATCCATCCACTCTGAGGCATGGTGTTGAGACATAGACATCTTACACTTCTCAGGACCCCCATCCACTCTTCTTGCTCTGACTTTCCAATTCCGCCTTCCCTTCCCCTTCCCCCTTCCTGTTTCCCTGCTCCACACACCACAATTCCTGTCCCAACCCCCGTCCTTCCCCTCCCCTCCCCTCTCCCCGTTTCTTTGCACCACACCACGACCTCCCCCAACGCCCCCCTCACCTCCCCTCTTTTCCTATGCATTGAATATGCGGCTCACTATTGAGCTGTGCATGCCTATCTGTGTGTTTATATACGTGCATGTCTGTGTGCCCCTGCATGCATGTTTGCCTAACCATGCACACATGGTATCAGAGCTATTCTACATCCATCGCCAAACGTGCTACCTCTGCACCTGGTTTTTCACTTGCCCTACTTGCTGGGGTTGTGTTTTTTGCGGTTGTTTGCATGCATGTGCATGCCTGTTTTGTGTGCCCCTGCTTTCATGTTTGTCTACCCATGCATGCATGAATGTGGTATCAGAGCCGCTTTACATTCATCGCCAACCCTGCAACTTCACCTGCTTAACCACTCTTTTGGTTTGTGTTTTTGCGGTTGTTTACACAAATGTGGTATCAGAGCCGCTCTACATTCATCGCCAAACATGCTACCTCTTTGGCCGCGAGAGAAAAGTGGGTGTGGGGGGCAATGAGAGTGTGGGGGGCAATGGGAGTGTGGGGGCAATGAGAGTGTGGGGGAAATTGGAGTGTGAGAAGGGGTAAAGGGAGTGTGCAGCATATTGGCAGTGTGGGCAGCAAATGGTCCTGTTATGAGCCATGTGTGGCGCAGTCCTGTGGTGGTTGTGGCACGGCAATTATCCATTCACATATTCCAGAAACCCAGTTCTGAAATTCGCTACTTTCTTGCCCTTCTATCCGGTCTTGCCGCCCTTGAGAATTTTCAGAAACCACTCTTGTCGTTTGTCACCATGTACAAAGCCACTCACAGCGTGCTGACAAGCAGGTGTACATTACCCTGTTTGCATATAACCATCTGACCATCTGACCATCTGACTTGGGGCACGTTGCAGATGTGCCAATAGACCATCCATCTGTCGTGGGGCTTCCCTTTATGGGCGTCAGAACTTTAATCTTTCTGTGTAGTTTTGAGACGTCTCAAAACTATGGACGTCAGAACTATATCCTTTCTGTGTGCTGCCCTGCTGCTTGCAGACGTGCCAACAGACCATCCAACAGACCATCCAACAGACCATCCAACAGACCATCCCTGTGTGCTGCCCTGCTGCTTTACCATGCGTGTGTGTGACGTGGGGTGGGCAGGTTGCAGACGTGCCAACAGACCATCCATCATGCAGCAAGCAGCACGCCGTCATTCAGTTCCGGTGGGTGTGCTGTGCGGTGCGGTGTGGTGTGGTGTGGTGCTGTGCGGTGCTGTACCATCTGACCATCTCATCATGTCATCTTATCTCACCATCTCATCATGTCATCTTATCTCACCATCTCATCATGTCATCTTATCTCACCATCTCATCATGTCATGTCACCGTCTCGTCTCACCATCTCACCATCCCACCTATCTCAACACCAGCATCTCCTCTGCTGTTGTATTGTATCGTTATAGTAGCGTTTTCTACCCTATCTCATTCTTACCTCGCCAAACCCTTGAGTCGACTCAAAATGTTGCATTCTATCGTGATATAAGTGTTACTCACTTTCTCTCATTACTATATTGCCTGCCATTACACTCATTCGTGGTCATGCCAGGCTAGTGGACAAGGAAGAACCGAGTGGGGAGATGACTTCCCTTGTGAGGTGAGAGGGTGTGGAGCTTGTTGTGAGATGAGGGGGGTGGTGCTTGTAAACAAGGAGGAACCGAGTAGGGAGATGACCTCTCTTGTGAGGTGAGTGAGCAGTGCTTTGAGGTGAGAGAGTGGTGCTGTGAGGTGAGTGAGCGGTGCTTTGAGCTGAGAGAGCGGTGCTCTGATGTGAGAGCGGAGTTGTGCAGTGAAAGGGTGGTGCTGCGCAGTGAGAGTGGTGCTGTGCGGTGAGAGTGGTGCTGTGCAGTGATAGAGTGGTGCTGTGCGGTGAGAGTGTGGCCCTTGTGAAATCACAAGGTGAGCAAAGTGAGAGGGGAGGGGCTTGCAATGATGCTTAGGGAAAGAGATCCTCCTAAACCCATTTGCAATAACTCAAAACCATACACAACCGTTTGCAAGCACTCAGAACCATTCACAAGCACTCAGAACCATTCACAAGCACTCAGAACCATTCACAAGCACTCAGAACCATTCACAAGCACTCAGAACCATTCACAAGCACTCAGAACCATTCACAAGCACTCAGAACCATTCACAAGCACTCAGAACCATTCACAAGCACTCAGAACCATTCACAACCACTCAGAACCATTCACAACCACTCAGAACCATTCACAACCACTCCCAATCACTCGCTGATCTTCCGATCCTCTCTCTCTCTTCTTCGCAGGCCCTATCTCATGGATCTCGGCAGCACCAACGGCACATTCCTCAATGTGAGCCACACACGGTGCTGAATGGTGCTGCATGGTGTGGTGTGCGTGCGGCATGGTGATGCGGTACCATGGCATGGGATATGGTTCCAATGTGTATGATTGTGAATACTAGTCTCCGTGCTCCCAACTCTCACCTCGCCCTCCCCGTTTCTACTCACTACCAAGCTTGAGGCGACTAAAGAATAAAAAAGACTCTCTCCACTTCCCTTCCTCCAGTTTGAGGAAGGTGCTCCTCTCCCCCTTCCTCTCCTCACTTGCTGCACCACACAACCTGCTGCAGCCTGCATGCACACACGCATGCACCACACTTCTCTCTTTATTGGTTTGTGGTTTCTGCATACATTAATCCACGGGAAAGACCGAAAACCTTGCAACTAATTTCGCTTGCATTTTTAGCTCATGTCACTGCCACGTGCCGTGCGTTCGGGAACTCTGTGGACCAAGAGTGGATGCATGCTAAGTGTTGGCCTAACTAGTTCTGACTTTTTGAGTCGTGTTCTGAGTTGCCTCAAAAAACACATGGCCTCTGCCCATGGTTGCACTTTTGAGAATTCTCAAAAGGCCTCTGCCCATGATTGCACAGCCCCATGCAGTTTTCCTCCATTGCTCCTCCGCGGGATCCATGAATTGACTTGCAGTGGCACCAGGATCGCATCGATGCCACTCCCCGGTCAGGCTCGGCAACAGCATATTTTGATTCGATTCACTAGCCACCTAGGCCGGCAACAGCGACTATGTGTTTCGTGACGATGCCTTGTGTGTGCGCCCAACCCCTCTGTCTATATGCCGTCCATTGCGCCTCCAGGGCTCCTCCAGGGCTCTGCGTGTGCTGACGTGAGTGCTGATGTGAGTGCTGACGTGAGTGCTGACGTGTGTGCTGATGTGTGTGCTGATGTGAGTGCTGATGTGTGTGCTGACGTGTGTGCTGATGTGTGTGCTGATGTGTGTGCTGCCTTCAGGGATTGAGGCAAAGTGGTGCAATGAACATAGGGAAGGATTTAGTTTCAGTCGTATAAACGACCGGTATTTAGTCGTATAAAAATCGGTAGTTAGTTGTATAAAGATCTGTATTCAGTCGTATCAAAATCTGTAGTTAGTCGTATAAAAGAAGGTATTTAGTTGTATAAAAGTCGGCATATAGTCATATAAAAATCAGTATTTAGTCGTATAAAAATTGGTATTTAGTCGTTTAAAGAATCGGTATTTTGAGCTGATGGAGAAGGACACGTTGAAGTTGGGCATTGGGGATAGTGTGGTGGTGGAGCGTTGTGGACTAACAGGCCGACTGTCTATGTGTCGTCCAGTACCCCTATGCGTGCAGGGTTCGCGCATCGAGGCACAGCGGTACTACGAGCTGATAGAGAAGGGCAAGTGAAGGCTGGCAGTGGGGAGAGCAATTCTCTTGCCTTGTATGTTTGCCTGTTACCCCATTGCCTGTTGCCTGTTGTGTGTTTGGTTCCTGCAGGGGTCACGCATTGACGCACAAAGATACTATGAGTTGATGGAGAAGGACACGGTGAAGGGTGGCAGTGGAGGGGAACGTGTTTCTTGATGCTTTGTGGACAAATCGTCTGTCTGTGTGCCTTCAATCCCTGGTGGCTTGCAGGGGTCACGCATTGACGCACAAAGATACTAAGAGTTGATGGAGAAGGACACAGTGAAGGCTGGCGACAGCGGCACTAGTTCCTGTCGCCTTGCGTGTGTGTTGCCGGCTGCTGTGCTGCATGTAGGGGTCGCGCATCGAGGTGCAAAGATACTATGAGTCGATGGAGGAGGACACGGTGAAGGCTGGGAGTGGGGAGAGCAATCCTCATGCATAGCATGCAATTCGCCCATTGCCTGTTGTGTGTGTGGCGCATGCAGGGGTCACGCATCGACACACGAAGATACTACGAGCTGATGGAGAAGGACACGGTGAAGGCTGGCAACAGCAGCAGCAAGAGCAGTTCCTTATGTCTCATGTGCGTGTGTGTGTTGCCCTGTGTGGTGCATGCAGGGGTCACGGATTGACGCACAAAGATACTACGAGCTGATGGAGAAAGACACGGTGAAGTTTGGCAACAGCAGCCGCGAGTACGTGCTGCTGCATGAGCACTCTGCAGGGTAAGGGGGGGGGGGGGGGGGGGGGGGTTGATGGGGTGATGGTGATGTGGGATAGGCAATGCTGCTGCACAAACACTCTGCGGGGTGATTGGTGGGTGGGGGGAGGAGGAGGAGGGGGGTGTGTGTGTGTGGATGGGGTGATGGTGATGGGGGATAGGTAGTGCTACTGCACGAGCACTTGGCGGGGTGATGGCTGAGATGAGATGGTCTGGGATGGGTTGGCCTGGGATGGATTGGCCTGGGATGGGATGGGATGGGATGGGATGGGATGGGATGGGATGGGATGGGATGGGATGGGATGGGATGGGATGGGATGGGATGGGATGGGACGCCTCAGCTGCGTAGTGTACCAGTCAAGCCTGCAGGAGCATCAGCTAAAAAAAAGCTACAGATGGGTACGGCTGTAGGGAGTTTTGCCTCCAAGTTATGTTTGTAACATATTGTTCTCATCCTTTATGCTCAGTCAACATGGCTGAGTGTGGAGCAGCAGCTGGGAATACACACCTGCATGGCTGCAAGGCAGTTAAGGTTCATGGATTGTCGTGGCCTGGTTGCTTCCAGGTACATGTACTAGTTGATTGGAACTACCACAAATGGCTGAATGTACAGCAGGGGGGGCTTACGAAGTGTTGCTGTCAGAATACTGAACGAGAATGAATGCATTGAATAGAAAGTTGGTACAAGTACTAACCCTAATTGGGTTGTACCCCTTATCGGCTACCCCACTACAACCTACATAATATAAGTTCTATACCATTTTGACAAACCTCCATAGGCAAAGTGGGGAAGAACAAGAGGTCACAAGACTAGTCAAGAAAAGCAAAGCAAGCTCAGGGTGGATCACAAAGTCACCACACATTCCGAGCACAAGCAAAGGCCACAAGGTCAGTTCACATGCAGAGTTATATAAAAGAGAACAAACAATACAGTGATCATACCTTAGCAAGTGCAAGCATGCAGGTATATACATAGATCAAAGTACAAGCAAAGTCACGCAGTGAGCAAGTGAGGCAAAGTAGGTACAAGGCCTAAAACAGTACAGAAACGCTGATGATCACCAAACTGAAGTGCCTTGGTGAATATATTGTTGGAAACAAGTGATTTAAACGCCTCTGTCGTGTCGAAACACCAAGACATGAGCGAAGCAGATCGTATCGAAACATCGGTGAGTCAACCCTCGGAGGTTGAACAACTGTTGGAGGTTACGCGAAAGTCAAAGGTCAGCGACCTTTGACCTGACAAATGCAGCGCGACAGCAAGGACAAACAACTGTCTCGATACTGAGCAGTTGCCCGAGTCGACACTGTATCGAACCGCAACAGCAACAGTAAAACAGTTATTAACTGTATCTTTTCATATTCCCTGTACTCTTATAAAAAGGCTGTATCTCTTCATTTTAATCAACTTACTTTGCCCTCACATATCAGCGCAAGGTGGTTCACAATCCTTTTATTAAACGCTTCCGCTACTACATCATCCTACCCTTGAATTCTGTCCTGCAAAGATCCTAAGGGCATTCTCAGCCCAACATGGTATCAGAGCAGTCAGGACAAATTCAACTACAGACAAAATATCTACGACATCACAAGACATGGCAACGCAGAAGGAGAGAAGCTCCTCTAACGGCTCTCCTGGTACTACTCCTACTCCACCTCCTACCTCTGGCCTACAGACAGAGGAGGGTACGGCAACAAGACCAAGGGCATCGTCTTCGGAAACTCCCGCAAATCAAGCTGCGGCCTTAACACACCCACCGGATCTTGACCCCGACTTCAGTCCAGAAGGCTTCTGGTACTCGCACACCATCCCTGAAGCAGAACGAACAAGAGCATTAGCAACGATTCAACACCCGGCAGCAACAGAAACAACATCAGCAGCAGCAGAAACAACATCGGCAGCAGCAGAACTAACATCGGCAGCAGCAGAAACATCGGCAACACCAACAACACTTACAACACCAGTCGCGAGTTCTTCAACGACATCGCCACACATCGACAATACTTCACCGACTCCTGCGCAGCAGCTAACTCCCATTCCTCGCGAAGTTCACCGAAGCGCCAACTTCACCGCCGCCTTTTACTCCAACTCCGACCTGTATCGTCGTTCACCCGGACATCGCGCCAGCGAAGACATCTGGCACGCACGAATGGGACACCCAAGCAACACGGTGTTAAACAATACAATCCGAGCAGGCGTACTCGACAAAGATTCACTACTCCTAACGGACGGAAGTGAACTTCGACGAGCGCGAGGAACGTGTTTTACCTGCCCCGAAGCTGACTTACCGCATCGACCTTTCACTTCCCATCACAACCCCAGCGCACCAGCTTACACACCACTTGAAAAGGTGTACAGCGACATTCTGTACAATCGCGAACCCGGACAAGGAGCATACAGCTACACCATCACGTTCATCGATGCCGCTACACGTTACGTTTGGCACCTTAATCTCCCGAGCAAGGACATGGCCTTCGAAGCCTTCATCGCTTGGCTTCCAGTAACAGAACGAGAATCAGGCGAGAAACTGAAAAGCTTTCAGTCAGACGGAGGAGGAGAATACACCTCACAGAGGTTCAAGCAGTTCTTGGCAGAAAAGGGAATCAAAAGGCTCATCTCGCTTCCTTACGCTCATCAACAGCAAGGCGTGGCGGAACGGATGAATCGAACTCTCCAGAACACCATGCGCAAATTACTGCGTGGCATGCGACTGCCCAATCACCAGTGGCCTGAAGCGATGGATCACGCTGTCATGCTGCACAACTTGCTTTCGTCGTCGTCACTACCGAACAACGCATCACCGCACCTGCTGTGGACAGGAAAACAGGGCAGCACAAAAATGTTAAGAGTTTTCGGCTGCATGGTACAGTACCAACCCCCATCTGCACGAGCCGGCCGAT